TTTGGGCTGCCATTTTATGGCTTTTTTTTTTTTTTTTTTTTTTTTTCAGGCATGGCCCTTTCATTACGACGTACAAGCAAAGCCCCATTGTTCAATATGGCTCTCTAATGAGAAAGAATAAGACTATGTATTGGGAAAGAAAAATTGTACATTTTTATGTGGAAGTTTATAGACTATTACTTCTAATTGAAATTTGAGGTTCACCTTTACAGTTAAGGTGAAGGCAGAAAATCACACATTATGTCCCTCTCTCACATAACAGACTCAAGTAGAGAATTAGGCTTTGACAAAGTGTAGCACTTACATGTCAAAAGAAACATACAGCTGACCTTGTCCTCAAAAGTTAAATTTGAATGAAGTCCAGTGTGTATGAAAAGGACATCTCCTGAGGGAAAGGGCTTATCATTCTTGGATTTTATTTATTTATTTGGCTGAAATGGAAGTTGAAGAGGAAAAACTATGAAAGAGCTTGCCCAGGTAATGGGGGACTAGGTTTAGGGACACAGTTTGGTGATTATAATTTTCCCAAACTAAGAACTTTGCTGTGCGATCCAAGAGGATGCTCAGAACGGACTTGAAGTGTTTCTTTAAAAAATTTTAACAACTACCTCGGATAAGAGTTATGGTAATTGAGCTTTATAAAACAATATGATATTTAAGAGTACTCTGAAATCTGCTGTTTCAATGCTATTACTTTACCCCATGAATTCTCGATAGAGGCAATACTGCCCCAAGGAAGTGAAAACCAGTTATTGGGAGGGGAAGTGGGAAAATATTAGTTATTACATAAAATTTAGAAAGTGTATCTGTGGTATCAAAATGTCATGGGAAAGGAATTAGGAAAAAAAGTCTTAAAACTGGGAGAAGATAACGATGAATTTTAAAATTTAGTCTATACAAGGGTTTATTTACTGTGTAAAGGAAAAAAAAAATAAACAACCTGCCACTAAGCGGTCCATTAGAAGCCTCCGGAAGCCCCTCAGTGACACAGGACACATTATACAGAGTCTGCTTTGGCAGAAACTTGTGACTATGTATCAAACATGTAAGCCTCATGAAACTTTTTGACAGTGGATGTGAACTGGACTTTTCCCATTGTTTCAGAATTGCAGCTCAAGGTGTAAGGCAGGGATCCCTAAACCCTGGCCAGTGGACTGGTACCTATCTGTGACCTGTAAGGAACCAGGCAGCACAGCAGGAGGTGAGTGGTGGTGAGTGAGCGTTACTCCCTGAGCTCTACCTCCTGGCAGAGCAGTGGTGGCATTAGATCCTCACAGGAGTGTGAACTCTATTGTCAACTGCATGGGCGAGGGATCTAGGTTGCACACTCCTTATGAGAATCTAATGCCTGATGATCTGAAGTGGAACAGTTTCATCCTGAAACCATCCTCTACCCCCATTCACCATCTGTAGAAAAATTGTCTTCCATGAAACCAGTCCCTGGTGCCAAAAAGGTTGGGACCACTGATATAAGGTTAAAAATAACACTTCCAGTGCCTCCTAAGCCTATCCTGGGCCTCTGAAGATGTGACCAGACAGCTCTGCTACATCCTCCTTCCTTCCAACACCTACGTAATCAGAAGATACAGGGGAGAGAGGGAATTTCAAGACAGTTTAATGAGGGCTTGGCCTAGAAGGAAAGATCAGGATTTTCCCCAGATGGGAGCAAGAGGAAGCTCCAGAAAGACCACTGATGGGATGAGGAGTGTCTGTAGCTGGAAGAGGCCGACATCTCAGTTCCTGGTTGTACTCCAGCTTGGGAAGCCAACTTGTCCCCTTTTTGTCTATTTGAGCAGATGGAAAAGGAAGTAGAAAGAGAGAAAATTCCACCGTGAAACATTCTAGACTTTCACTACTTGGCCTGTTTTGCCTGTATCTTCCATCAGTTATTAAGATACTGAGAAATACAGACAAAGGAATCATAATAACAAGTGATAACAGTGTATCTACAGGGGAGGAAGCTAAGGGGATTTCAAAAGAGGTCAAAACATAGAACATCTCTCCAGCAGAGAACTGGGAAGTAGGAAGACCCCCACCATGTTCTGCTCACTGCCTTACACAGTTCACTTAGGTTCCCTCAAGACAGTACCTAGGTTATTGTCACACAGAGGTGCATTGATAGCCACAGGAAGACCACGAGATCCACCTAATGAAAAATGGTTTTGTCCTTTTACTCTTCACCTTCCTTTAACCCTGAGGAGCTTTAAAAAACAGGGGTGGTGGGAAGCAGTAGAACCCCAAAACGCAACCCCTTCCCTGTCCAAGTCCGGGCCTGAGAGGAGGTAAGGTCTAAATTGAATTTGCAATAGAAGTGGTAAGCTGGCCTAAACTGGACCAGACGCCTTAGTACTTAGACTTCCCTAGCAAATGCTGAGCGTTAGAACAATAGCTGTCTACCTGCCCCACCTTTGTCACCCTAGTGAAGCAGTATTTTTTCCTGACCCTTTCATGAGACTTGTGACAGGGGTGCCTTGCATACTCAGCCCTGCAGCTCTCAATGCCTTGCGGGAGGTAGCATACAAGCGAACAAGGCGGGAACTGGAGTGCACAAATGCTGGAACCAGCTGGCTGCTTCAGTGCTGGCAGGGGCAAACTCCAATCACGGGGACCCACTACATTCCACCACTTATGGAAGGGAACATGCAGGTGAGTAGGTGCAGAAGCTGGGCGGCACTTTTGGGTGCTGGCAGGAGCAAAATCCTTGCAAGCCCCGTGGCAGTGTCCGTGGGGATGCCGGCAACCTCTGAAGCCCTAGAGGGAGTGTTATAGTGCTCTTTTAGCTTGACCATTCACAGATAGCTTAGATGTTAACAGCCCAGTGGATGCTCTGCCTTTTCACATGAGGTGGCTGCCCTCCGCCAGCAAAGGCAAAGAACCAGCGTGGCAGCTTTGTATCCACACTCGTGGCTCCTGAGCTCTTGTCCAGCATTTAGAAAAAATGAATTTGCATGAATGAATTGGAAGATGGTAAATTTTTTTGCTGATGAAAGTGGGAAGGGGAGTTGAAAAAGGGATGGGGCAGGAAGGTAATCTTCCCCTGAAGTCCAGCCAACTCCCACTGGATTCTTCTCCAAAGTTATGCTGTCAAGCTGTCCCTCTGAAATCAAGACACTTCTCTCTGACATCCAGCTGCAGTCCCCAACATCCAGATGCTTCTCCTCTCTGTCGGCTGGGTTCTGGAGTTTGTTAGTTAGTTTGTTTTAGATGGAGTCTCACTCTGTCACCCAGGCTGGAGTGCAATGGTGCGATCTCGGCTCACTGCAACCTCCGCCTCCTGGGTTCAAGCGATTCCCCTGCCTCAGCCTCCCGAATAGCTGGGACTACAGGCACACACCACCACGCTGGGCTAATTTTTTGTATTTTAATAGAGACAGGGTTTCACCATGTTGGCCAGGATGGTCTCCATCTCCTGACTGTGTGATCCGAGGGAGGGGCCATGGGTGGATTAGGAAAAGGCAACATTTGAGCGGGAAAACAGGGATATAAGATCTCACTTTGGGCCATGATCTCACGTTTTTCAGCTTGAGGATGGGGTTTCTCCAGGGACCCACCCCTGCCTGCCTAGAATGTATCTGCCTCCTACTCACATCACTAGCACCCTGCTTAGACTCTTTAATCAACAGACCATTTAGGTAAATCTCATTAAAACTGAGGAACGACTTTGACTTTCTCCGGAAACTTTTAAAGTAAAAAAAAAAAAAAGAAAAGGGTTAGAATTTGGTTACTACCCTTCATATCTTTAGAGTTCTTCTTTCAATACACTGCAAATCTTAACTTAATGTTAAAATCATTTTCTAAGGATGTTTATTGCAAGACTGATTTAAACACAAAGAACCACAGGACTGTTTTTCCATATGGCTGGGGGGGGGCGGTTGTTTTCATTCTTAAGTATTGCTTCGCAGACTTTTATGGCCATAAAAATTACCTAGGAACTTTGGATCTTGATATAAATATATAGCTTTTAAGAGCATTATGGACTGAATTATGTCCCCCTAAAATGATATGTTGAAGCTTTAACCTATAATATATATTTGAAGATAGGGCACTTAGGGAGCTAATTAAGGTTAAATGAGGGAATAAGGATGAGACCCTAATCCTATGGGACTGGTGTCCCTATAAGAAGAGTAGCAGACGCCATATTTCTCTCTCTCTCTGCACATGTACAAAGAGGCCACGTGAACACGGCAGAGCTAGAAGGTGGTTGCTTGCAAGACAGGAAATGAGACTTCACCAGAAACTGAATCCATAAGCACCTTGATCTTGGAATTCCAGCCTCCAGAACTGTGAAAAAATTAATTTCTATTGCTTAAGACTTCAGCCTGTGGAATTTTGTTATGGCAGCCTGAGCAGTCTAAGACAGAGAGGCCTTCCTCTGAAGTCCCGAAATTTCTAAGCCTGAGATGGGTCCTAAGTCTTCACGGTTTTGTTTTGTTTTGTTTTAAGCTACTGAAACGGTTTCTATGATCTGGTGAATTTGGGAGGCACAAGTTGATGAGATTATTTTTATGAACATTTTAGTTTTTACCTATTTCTTTCAGAGTTCTTTTCTCACTCTTTATGGATGTTTCTCCATTTCAACAAACATTTACTGATTCTTACTTTTCTAGGTAGTGAGAATACAGTGGTGAATAAAAGTAAGAGAAGATTCCTCCCTTTCAGAATTTGACATTCGAATGGAGATAAAGATAATATTGAATGATAACATACATCTATTATTTAATGTCCAGTAGTGATAAGTGATGTAAAGGGGGGAAAAAAAAAAGATAAAGTGTTAGAGAGGGAGGAGAGGTGGCAGAAGGACTCTTGCTTTGGAAAGCCAAATAAAGCTCCCTGAGAAATTTACAATCGGCCAAGACTTGGATGAAATAAGAAAGCTGTGTGAAAGTACTCGGGGAAGAGCACTTCAGGCAGAGGAAAAAGCAAGTACCAACTAGCTCTATGTCTCTTCAGAATATGACGAAGGCCAGGATGCCTAGAAATGAGGGAGGGAGGAGGAAGAGAATGGGAGATAATCTGGAAGAAGGAGGCAGGGGCAAGATCAGGCATTGCAAACACAAGGTAAGAGGCTGGATCTAATGAGCACTAGAAAGGTGTGGTCTGATTTATTTCTGTGTGGTAACACTAGGGGAACAAGAGGGAAAACTGCAATGCCAGTTAGGAGGCTATTGCAATGAACAGTCAGGGTTAACTCCCTAAATATGCAGTTTCAGTGCATTTTAGTGTGATGTAATCAGTAGGAATAACCAGGTCAAAGAAAATTAGGAAACCAGAATCTTGCCTAGAATTACTGCGAGAATCTTATATTTATTATACTACACTTACCGTCAAATTTGTGGACTGTTTGTGTTTGTTCTTTCTTAGTAAAGATCCTAAATCTATAGCTTTTTTTTTTATGCATGAAGGCACCTTGGATCTCCCAGCCCTGTCCTCTGACTCTGCCATCAGGATATGCAAACAACTGACTTGCTTTTCATAATGTGTTTTAGCAATGAGAGCAGATCCATGAAGCACCTCCCACACTCAATTCACAATAACTCCTCCAACATTTTCTAGTTGCTTGTCTAGGTGGAGTTAGAAATACCTTATTCGCATACAATGGAATTGCACCTGTAAGCAATTTACCTATCTCCTGGCAGAACTCACCAACTAGCTCAAACACAAAATTTCCAAATATCCACTTTTAAAGTATTCCCATCCTCTTCATATGACAAAATGATTTGGAAAATGTGTTATTGTGTTTTAGATTGGGATTTTAAAGTGATTTAATTATAGCCACAGAATGTCGGGTTTTATGTATCCTATCGACAAATCTAAAGCTGTGTTTCTGAATTTAATGTTCTCTAAGGAGGTGTTGAGAGTATACTGGCTGCTCTTTCTTTTGGCAAAATCTTGATACTAGGTACAAATGCTTCCAATGGTATTTTTGGACCATTCTATTTTTAACCCTAATCCTTTCCTTTGCTGTGGTTATGGCCCTGAGTCCTTAAATTATAGGCTCTCCTGCAGTTTCAAAAAGCTAATTCACACTACCATGTGCATTAGAAAGGTGGTGTATATGATATTCCACTAAGGGAAACCCTAGGAGCATTAAACTCCTACTAGTAACTGGTCACGAGTCAGGGCTAGAACTGACGCTAGTCATTTTTCTTCACTGACAAGTTTTCATTATGCGGCTTTCCCAGAACAATTTAGAAATTGATCTGCAACTGATGGAAGCTGGGATGAATGGGGCGCAAAAGTGAACCCAAAGCATCAGGGCAAAGTCAAAGCGAATGCTTTGCTCTAGCTTTGAGTATAAGGCGAGCAACTTCCCTTCTCCCTCCCCTTCCCCCAAACCTCCTTTTGCACAGGCAGCAGGAACAAGAAGTTCCTTTGGGGACATCCCTAGGGTCTGTAGAGGTTCTGTAAACTTTTCTTTCATCTTCTGTTTACTTATCTCTTGCCTAAATAGGTCAGAGGTCCACAACCCTGAGAAAACAAGTCCCCACTATGCCTCAACTGACATTAAAGAAAGGGTCTTTTGTTTTGTACAAAACTGTGAAAATCTGGTCGAGAATGGAGAGCATTGATCTGAACTTGCTTGGTGTCATTCTGACATTCTTGGGGTCTGTGGGATTACCTACAAGTGTTCAAGGGTGGTGTCCTGCAACCCTGGGAAATGCTTAGGGAACAAGATGCTTCTAAGGCTGTTGTGGGGGATTGAGAGATGTCAGAGTATGTTCTGGCCCAAGGACAGTGAAGGATGATAATTGAGACACAGGCTAACAGAGTTTAGCCGAATAGATTATTCTGTTGTTTGTGGTGGCCATAGTGGTGGTGTGAGTGTGTATGTGTGTGTGTTATGGGATGGAGGTAGAGGTGAGGGATGAAGGGGATTGTCTGGAATGAAGAAAGATGGGGCCCTTAAAGAGAAGCCTAGAACGACCATGCAAATAGGAGTTTATTTAAGCCAAAATAGATTACTTTTTTACTCATTCCCTTCACTGTTTGTGAGTCAGTACCCCCCCCCCCCCACTTGCCTGGAACTGGGTAAGACGTTCTGCAGTGTGTTCCCTCCTCTAATAAGAAAAGTGCTGGCAGCAGTTATGTTTTGAAAAGCTATTGTGGACGAGACAAAGTGCTGGAGGCTTTTTTGGGATTGTAGCTAGACAGCAACTGTGAACTTTGACTCAGCACAGTCATATTCTTACATTATGAGATCAGTTGAATTAACAGGGGAATTTCACTCCCAAATTTTCTTGATTGAAGAGGGTCATCTTCACACACACTAAAAGTGTATTGGAAGTGCTTCCAGGTGACCCTGTGCCACAATGGCAGAGCAACAGAGTCCAGCCTTGAGAGCAATCTACTGGGCGCTGTCTCACCTCTCAGGCAGCTGCTCAGCCAGTGTATACCAGTCTCTATTGTGACTGGCCTTAAGTCCACAGCTATGTACAACTCTATGCTCCTCAAGACAAGAGTGGGAGGCTGGCGGTGCCTATAAAGAAAAGAGATGAGACAGATCTGAGAAATGAAGTATTTTGGTGTGAGGTCCTCTACTTTATAAACACTGATTTTGAGGCTTATGTTTGTAGTATCCCCATATCTTTTCAATAAATGCTTTTGCTGTTTAACAACGAGCCAGTTTAGTATTTTCCATTACAGAGTCCAAAGACAAATTTTCCCACCTGGCTCCAGCAAAGTGACAGTGTGTGCAAAGGCAACCATTCTGGTACTTGCTTTGATGGCAATTTTGTTAAGAAATTAAGGGCTAGAGGAGGAACTCAGTTTCCTTGGCCAGTAGGAAGTATAACAGGTCAAGAAAATTAATTCAAAAAATAAATTGACTAAACGGTATATCTTAATTGAGTTTTTAACATATTAAATACCCACCTAATGTTTTTGTTGTTATTATTACAAATAATAAAATATACTCTAAGCCAAAGGTCATTTTTTTTTTTTTTTTTTTTTTTTTTTTTTTGTAATTTGTCCTTTCACTTACAAATCATGTTAATGGCAGGCTTGGTTGACAATAACCTTCTTAGTGTGAGATTTGGAAGCAACCCCAGAATCTTCCTTTGGAGATGATAAAGAAGAGATAAAAGGTGAATTGGAAAGATCCTCTGTGAGGGTTGCGTGGACAGAAACCCCAAGTAAATTTCAACTTCAATGGAATATTATGCATATGGTTTCAACCCAAGTCCTTGCTTTCTTTTCAAGGCTAGGGCTTGGATATGGGTGAGTAACGTGCCTATGGAACAGTTCCCCACTTTGAGAGGCTGAGACAGGAGGATCACCTGAGGTCAGGAGTTCAAGACCAGCCTGACCAACATGGAGAAACCCCGTCTCTACTAAAAATACAAAATTAGCCAGGTGTGGTGGTACATGCCTGTAATCCCAGCTACTTGGGAGCCTGAGGCAGGGGAATCACTTGAACCCAGGAGGCGTAGGTTGCGGTGAGCCAAGATTGCACCATTGCACTCCAGCCTGGGCAACAAGAGTGAAGCTCCATCTCAAAGAAAGAAAAAAAAGGAACAGTTCCCTATTGACCTAGCTTTAGTGCATGTGACTTACCTGAGGAATGGCGGTCTTAGCTGAATAGGATTCTGCTCAAGAAACGTCTCCTAGGAGAATGAGTAAATACATGAATGAATCCAGTGATCTTTGCCCTTAAAAGAAACAAGCTTTTATATGTAAAAGCTGATTTCAATTGTAAAAAGAAGTGATTCATATAATCCAGGTAGGTTAAAGAGTTACACCCACCTCTAGTCATTGGGAGTAAATATGTGCCTTGGAAGATTTGAAAGGCCAAAGAGCTCAGTTGGGTTGTCTATCACCCTTAATGACTGATGTTAGTCATGTGATGCCGAGCCCTCTTGTTAGTATTTGTCTAGTACTAACAACCTCCAGTAAGTTGTCCTTTCCAAGTTGTCCTTTGCACTTTTCATTTAGTTAGTCTTCAGGGACACTAGACATAACCAAAATAGACCAAAAATAACAATTTTAATGTTATGAATGAAAATGATCAATTTTGTTTTAATTTTGACTGGTTTCTGATCAATTCCATATTATGGAAGTGGAAATGATTCATCTTCACCATAAGATCATAGGAGACTACTAAACAAGTAGTTTAGCTTGTCAGTTTAGGTACCAATACTTGTCCCTTAATCGAAAAAGGGTATGACTAGTTATTTATATATGAGAAAACAACATAACATTGTTGCTGAAACAATTCAACCCCTGCCATGCATCCATTTGGACTACATCCATGTGAATCAAAACATTTACAAACATCCACAAAGCAAAAAACTACTAAACTGTAGAGAAAACTAAGGAAATGTCCCACCACCTTTCTTAGGGCAACATTATCCTTTAACTGAAAATGAAAACAAATCAGTGTAGTTTACTACATTGTCCAAGCTGCCATCGAATAAGATGATAAATGTCAGAGGACTCTGAAAAAAATTATATATAAAACTTTAAAAAATGTAATATGGTATCATAATTATTAGTAAGTTTCAATTTGATTTGGGGTCCTTTGGAACTGTTTTTATTGTATACTATTTGAGATCAGATATCTTGCTGGATTGTGTTTCTAAATGATTAACGTTGATTTTTAGGCTTAGAGATAATTTGATTATGTGTGCAGTAAAAGAAACATCTAGTTATTGGTCCTGTGTCCGCACAGGAACCAGCAGTCTTCTGAGCGGAGAGTGACCTTTGGAGAAAGTCGCGTGTGAAACCATTAGGATGTGGGAATCATTTCTAGGTTTTTTGGTTCCTAGTTTTTATTTTCACCTTTGCATAACAAAACAAAACCTCTTTAACTGAAAATAAATCTCTGCAGGTGGTGTCTGGAAGCATAGTTTAAGGTCTGTATTTTCACTTTTCAGCCAAATTAATTTTTTTTCTAAAATCATGTGTCAGAAATTTTCACATTTTTCTTAGTCTATAAAACTTAAAGATCTCTAAAACTACCGGTCCACTCACTTATTGTCGCACTGCAATATTAAGCAGGTCTTTGACAGGTAAAAATTAATAGAAATTTGACTACATCAGGCCAATTGATACAAATGAAA